TTTCTTAAGCTTTCATACTGTCATTGAAATCTGAAGTTTTCTGTCAGGCTCCTGCTTTCCCTCCTACTTTTTATAATGAGCACTTTGAAATATACTGAAAAATTGAAGTAGTATATGGAATATGCATATATTTTCCACCAGGATGCAAGTGCTAAAATTCTGTTGTATTTTACCTCTATCCCAGTCTTTATGTACACAGCATTTCAGAACCAATTGCAATGTAGTTGTATGCATCTTGACTCTTCCTCCCTACAAACTTCCACATGCCTGTCTTAAAACCTGGGGAACTTTCAGCGAGCAAGTAATGTTTTTGAAATGGTAAAAACAATTATTTACAACTTTTTAATGAACTATATACAAATGAGGAAAAGGTATAGAACTTCAAGTCATGAATGAATTAATTTTGTAGATTTATGTGGCAAATTCTTTTTTTTTTAATTATACATTTTATTTTACATCAAGTGTTCAGATTCTTTTTTTAATATATCTTTATTGATTTCAGAAAGAGGAAGGGAGAGGGAGAGAGAGAGAAACATCAATGATGAGAGAGTCATTGATCGGCTGCCTCCTGCACACCCCCGACTGGGGATTGAGCCTGCAACCCGGGCATGTGCCCTGACCGGGAATCGAACCCCGATTGCCTGGATCCTAGGTCGATGCTCAACCACTGAGCCATGCCCGGCCGGGCTATGTGGCAAATTCTTAAGGTTTCACTTTGATTGGCTTGTTATGTTTGTGCAAATAACATTTTATTTATGTTTGTGCAAATTAACATTGTGGTAAAACTGAATTTTGTATAAAGGTAGCCTTTTAGCTATATTACTCTCCGTAATGCCAGGCTTTCCATTGATGTTGTCCTTTTGTCATTTCCTACCAGTCCTGGGTCCTTGCCCATTGGCCAGCTCTTTATGTGTAACTTTCATGGTGGATATATAGGGATTTATCTGGTACCTCTTTTCCCCTTTCGTTTGTTTATGACACTCTCGTCCATCCATATTTGATAGTGAAATGGTAAGATATAAACCATGAGAGTTGTCATCAGCCTCCCTCCCTCCCCACCAGGTGGAAAACGCCAGTAGCCTTGGAGCAGAAATGATGAAGCCAATACACGGAGATGGAGCTCCTGGTTCTGCCCATTCCCAAGATCCAGTCGGACAGTTGTATTTCATGAGTTGATAAATGTCTATTTTTGCCTCAGCAAATTCTGGTAGGATTTCTGTTCAACCCCAAAGCTGTAACTTGCTCGATATGTTATTTCCTAAACTAAGTCCTAATTCCAAGCAAATTTTAAATCTATAGATACTTTTCTCTCCCCATTGGAACTGCCCTACCTCTGTCTATCCCTAATTCCAACAGAAACCAGCTTGTCTCTACTTTCTCCATGAAGCTTTTCTAGTCACAATTATTTTCCTCTTACTAGATCTTATAATCTCTATTTGGTGATTCAGTACTTGATATTATTGTTTTAAGTTAGTCTGTAATTGTTTCTGGTGTGTTTACTTTGTTTCACGAGTGTCTGAATTCCTTCAGAGCATAGATGTACTCATTCACCCATTTTACATCCCAGAATGCCTAACACTCAGTAAGTGCTCAATAAAAGCATATTGGTTCATGACAAGGTATGACTGTATATATTAAGAGAACTATCTAAGGAACTAAGTATCGAGCGTTGTTTATGTATTTAATCTCATGCTTATCGCAGTGCTGGACACACAATAGGTACTCCAAAATTCATGTTAATTAAAAAATGTTCTTAGATTTGTGAGTTCAGGGCAAATGCTATGGTATTAAAATGAATTGAAAGATGATGAACTAAATAATGCCATATGATGCTTTAAAATTGAGAACTGTCGCCCGGCCGGGCGTGGCTCAGCTGTTGAGCATCAACCTAGGATCCAGGCAATCGGGGTTCGATTCCCAGTCAGGGCACATGCCCGGGTTGCGGGCTCGATCCCCAGTCGGGGGTGTGCAGGAGGCAGCCGATCAATGACTCTCTCATCATTGATGTTTCTCTCTCTCTCTCTCCCTTCCTCTCTCTGAAATAAATAAAGATATATTTTAAAAAATAAATAAAATTGAGAACTGTCAGTCATAATATTAATATACCAAAGTATAATCTTAAACCTGGAACACTTTTTACAGTCATTTTCTTTCCCTTTTCTACTTTTTTGTTTCCACATCTGCCTTTATTTTTTATCTCTCATTAGCACTTACTTTTGTCACTTTTTGGTCCATGATGATCATCTCATGCCTCTCACGCCTGCTCCCCTCCTTTTCCCACTTTCATCTTTCCTGTCACTTTACAGAACTAATTTAGATGTATTTAGGATTACAAACAGGAACCTTTTTTGTCCTCAAAAATACTGCCTTAGGGCCTCTTGACTTTTAAAAACAAATTTCTAAACCTACATTGCCACCAACCACCTTTACTTAATCAGTCTTCAACAGTTACCAAATAAAAGTTCTCTTTGCCATAATAAAGGAGGGCAGAGTACTTTGTTGGCGCTTTACAAAACTGGGTGACTAGCCGAATATTAGCTCGTGATTGTGATGTTGGAGAGGGAAGGCCTTGGTGAATCAGAGACAGTAAAAAGGCCAGTGTGGCTGCCTAGAGAGGGTGAGATGAGGGGTCACGGGATGGGTTGTAAAGGGAGGCAGGGCTCAGGTGTGGTTGGTCTGGACAGAGCCCTGGTTTCGGTATCTGTGCACTCACACGTGCTTTTCTGTGGCTGATGTCTTTGCCAGAGAGGAATCATTATAGGCTGCGTGGTTTAAGTGGCTAGAGCATAGGCTTTGGGGTTTGGACAACTGGAACCTGCTGTCTCTTCTCAGGTGTGCTCTTGGGCATTTGCTAATTAAACGTTTTTGGAGATAGAGAAAATGAGGTTTACCTTGCAGAATTAAGTATTAGAGTTGATGTGTGAAATACCTAGAACTTAACAGATACTTATCAGTTATTGTTACCATTAGAGACAGTATTTAGTAAATTAAATATTTCAGAAGTATATATATTCTGTCTTGATTTATATTCTCTGATACTAGGTTAGTAAGGGCTGAGTAGGTAGACAAAGTAACACACCAGTTTTACAACCTCCTACTAAAAGAAGCTGGATTTGTTTTCACTGTTTTGTTTTATTTCCTGTAAATTGACTCTAAAAGTACGTAAAAGTTTCTGTAGTAAGGGGCATTAAAGCGTCTTCTAGAATAAAATTGCTGGTTTTTTGTGTGTGTGTTTTTTTTTAAAACAACCTAGAAACAACATTGTCTTTGGAGCATTATCTAAAGCAAGCAAGCAAATGTATTTGAAAGCCAAAACTCAGAGTGAGGTATTCATCCACGAGCTCCAGGTTTTCACTATTATATTGATTCCTTTTGTTTTGCTGAGAAGACAAATTGGCTCTTAAGAAGGACTGAATTGAAACAGTTTTTATTCTTCTTTTTCTTTTTTCTGTCCAGAAAGTCTTAACATGAGCTAGAATATTCTCAGCATACAAATAAGCCAATGAATACTGGCTGTAGTCCTTTTGGAAACGTTGTATTGAAAAGATTAGTGTTTCTTCTTTATGGAAAAAACATGAATGCTTTGCATCCCTCCTTTCTCTTTGTGGGACTTGGCACTGTGCTGACGAATATTATTTGTCCATTAAAATGGTGTGTCTTGAAACACTCTTTTTAGGAAAGAATTCTGCTGCAAAGCAGATGAAATCTTATTTATTTTTGAAAACAGACCTCAGAGGAGTAGTAATTGTTTCTCTCTAGTACTGCGGTTACTACTCCACAGCAGAGAAGGGCAATCACAGCCTAATGGATGCATCTGATTGATGAACATATTGATTAGATCTAGAAGATTGTGTTCTTTGAAATTCCAGACCGTTTGAAATTTCAAGTTGGTATCGCCGTTGCATCTAACCAGCTTAAAATTTTCTAATGTTAACAGTATTTACAAGTAAAACAACACTTTAAGGAGTTTTTATTAAAAGATGGGATGAAAGAATAGGATTATAAACTACACATTAAGAGAAAAGTGTTCAGAAATCATTTGCCATTTTTTATTTCTCTAAGTAGGAAACAGGAGGAAGTCATGAATTATAAAGGCCAAATAGAATTCATCAGGAGTTTACTAAAAATTTTTAGTCATAATACAGGTTCTGTCCAAATTAAAGAAAACAAACAAACAGACGAAGGTTTCAAAAGTTGGTTGGACAAAAATAAATCAGAGTAAGTAGTTTAGAATGATTTTTAGTCTGCTCTGAATGTAACTGAAAACAAAGGGTTTAGCCATGTCAAACAGATGTTTTTTGCTTTGCACTTTTAGAGCCTGGCAAATGGCAGGAAGGCAGTCTCCACCTGGACTTGTGCTGGGATCACAGTAATAGCTTCCTGAATGGTGTGTCGATGGATAGATGTTTGCTTCTTGATTGGTGAGGTGGAATTGATTGACGTGCGTGGCAAGGGCCAGTAAGGCAGCTGTGTCTAAATTGATGGCCGGCTGAATGGAGGATTTGACCTCTATCATGAGTTCGTAACCTAAAGCAGCTTATGCTCTCTTCTTTCAGGCTTTGTCATTAGAGAAAGAATTAGAAAAATTTACTTTAGAGATGCTAATTTCTTATCCTATAAAGCCCAATAGTTAAAATTAAATAGGGCATACTGAAATTCTTAGGTGGAAAATTATTCAAATAGAGAGATGGGCATATAGTAATACACTCAAATTCAGCACAGCAAGTGCAGGTGAATGTGTAATATATGGAGTCTCTGACTTTTTTGAAGGGACTTTGAAGGGCAAGTTTTTTGCTCTCAAGATAACTAATGCTTATAGTTGGATGGAGCATAAACATATGAATATAAGGCAAGATATCATAATATGCTCATTAGAGTTTCAAAGTGCTGTGGGAACATGAGGTAAGGAGAGAGAAATTTTCAGTTATTAAGGGACTGATTTCCCAACTGTGTATAGCTTAATTACCTGCCTTTTGATCACCACAGTTTTAGAACCTACATAAAAGGGGTGACTGGAAAGGAATAAGGAGAATTTTTATTTTTATTTTTTGCCGATTGTCTCTAAATGGAAGGCTAGCTGGTAGAACTTAAGGCAGGAAATAGAAAGGAAAATTTTGGTTTGTGTTTTTATACTTGCGTATTCACTGTAGAAATAAATTCTTCCACTTCTACTCTGTTTTTATTTTTAAATTTTTTTATCCTAATTATGAAAGATTCTAAACATATAGAAAAATAGTCTATATGTAATGGAAACCAAGTACTCATCAGTGAAATTAATTATATATTAGCTTTTTGTTCTTTTTGCCTCAGATTTCTCCCTCTTTTTTTTTTTTTTTAAATATATCTTTATTGATTTCAGAGAGAGGAAGGGAGAGGGGGAGAGAGAGATAGAAACATCAATGATAAGAGTCACTGATCAGCTGTCTCCTGCACACCCCCTGCTGAGGATCGAGCCCGCAACCTGGGCATGTGCCCTGACCAGGAATCTAACTGCCATCTCCTGGATCCTAGGTCGATGCTCAACCGCTGAGCCACGCTGGCCAGGCTCTCCCTTGTTTTTTTTTAAGAAATCAAAATTAAAGATCGAATGAAACTCTACTCTTATTCCTTTCCCTCATTACCCAGAATTAATTACTGAACTGAAATTGGTGTCAATCTTTCTGTTTAAAAAACTGTAACAGATGTACATACATGTCATACATACCCTATTGGAGTTTGATTTTTTTCATTCAGGATCATGTTTGGGGGACTTAATCTTCATATATGTAATTGCTTTTCTATGGAAAAGCAGCAGTGATTGCCCTAATCCTGGTTTTTGAAGTTCTTTCTCAACATCATAAGAATGAATATGTTTGTTAAAGCAACTGAGAAAAGTGGGAAACAATCAAATAATTTGTACTTTGCTTAAAGTACATAATTTACAAATATTCTCTGCACAGAGATGGTTGCTTACACATATTCCCCTTGCCCCACCCTCCACTTCAGGGTTTATCTGCCTCACTTTATATATTGGCATCCTCTGGGCAGTTATTAAGTGGTTCTGAGCCAGTGGTCTGACTTAATGGTATCAGAGTAAGGAATTCATTTATTAGTTCAATCATTCATTCAAAAATAAGGATTGATATTTGAGGATACAGCAGTAAGTAAAAAAGTGTGACCTCATATAGCTCACATTCTAGTAAATAGAAAATGAACAGAATGAGCAAA